GGTTTTTGAAAAGCCCGATCCGGGTCACCGATCCGGTTTTTAAACCATTGATGTGGACTAATGTAATAGGCTCCGAATGGGAATAGTATCTAATACTTCTAAAATTTACAAAAAAAAAAAAAAAACCTTGAACCCTGAACCCTAAACATAGGCAATTCCAATAATTTCAGGAATTACTTGAAAAATAGAGAGCAAGTGGAATATTTTGACCCCTTCAATACGTATCTGATGACCGGAAGCCACATCTTCTAACTCCTTCCAAGCATTTTCCATATTTGTTACAAGGAAATGCAACGATGTTTTGGAAGTCGCAGCTTCCAAAACAATGTTTAAGAGCACTTAAATGAGAAAGCCACAATTTATAGCCCCAACCTTCATGCTACTCCATAAAAGCGGCAACTTTTAAACCTGGTAGAAGAGTTAACTTGGACAATCTTCCACCAAACAGACGCCCTTCTCTATAATTTTGCAATTTTTTTTTTTTTTGGCATTATCTACAAAGAGACTATTTATCTTTTGTACATGGAGATCATACATATTCTTATCCCTTAAATTTCAAAATAGGTGGTTGTAAGAGTATCATTAAATAGACACAGATTTCTAAAGAAAAAAAAAAAAAAATGGACTTTGCAACTTATCCCTAACCACCCAATTTGACATCTAATAGGTGAGTGATTATGACCGCCATATACAAAAGATAAACCGTCTCTATAGACATTCTTTTGTTTAAAAAAAATATGAATTTTGCAAGGGATTTTATCTCGTCAAATGATATATTCTCTCATAATAAAGGTTACAAGCAACAAAAAATGTCACCTTCCCAGAGAGAATAAAGCAACTTAAACGAGAGATTTAATGAAAAAGAGACAAAGATATGGTGAAAAAGAAACCTTAAAATTTCAGAGCAAATAATGTATACTTCGAACTCATTACCTTTGTTATCCTACACAAGGATGTTGGATACTATTGAGCACATTATTCACGAGCTAATTTTTCATCATTCAATAAAGCACTGTATAATGAGCCTAACAAATCAGTCCATCCAAAAATAACAACAAAAAAGAGACTGCTTTAGAGCTTGTTTGGGCTCGCTAATGAACAAACTTCAAGGGTTTGAACCAGTGACCGCCTTCACCCATACCTCGCCCAAATTAACATGCCTACCACCAATCAAAGTGGAAGAAACAAGAGATGTCTTTGCCTTTGCCATTAGGGTGCAGTTGGAATACGGATGCATTCATAGGGAGGTAAGGTGTACCTTCAAATTTTATTATGGTATATAATTTTGATGTAAAATGTTATTAGGATTATCTTAAAATATATTTTTATATCTAATTATAAAATTTTAAATTTCAAAATTAGTTAAAATCAAATAGATGATATGAAAATCTTGAAAATGGACGGTGTAAATAATATACTGTAAAATGCACTAATTTTAAGACTTAAAATCTTTTTATTTTTCATGGTCATACATCTCAATGTCGAGATGATCAATCAAAAAGTTTTTCAACATTTAAACTACCTTTTCCAATAGATTTTTGAGGTACATCCGTAGCTATAGAGGTAAAATTGTAACCTTATATAAACTTTTTCCTTGCCATTAATCGGTAAATAGACTATTTATTTTTTATACAAAAAAATTACAATTACTTTCGACCATTGGATTTGAAATCCAATAAACGAAAGAGTCACAATATTCTATACATTTTATTTTGAATTTCGTGCTCAAATAAAGGCATCATCAACAACCTAATTTCAAATCTAATGATCAATAATAATTACGACTTGACCCGATTTTAAATCTAATGGTCAATAATGTTTGTGACTTGACCCGATTTCAAATCTAATGGTCAATAATGTTTGTGACCTAATATCAAAATAAAACAATCTCATTGTATGCACTCCCTTACAAAAAGTAACTTGGGACAAAAAGTGGAGACCAATATTCGTAAAATCAAACCAGAACAGTTAACCGGATATGAACCTAACAACGGCCTAACCAATGGTAAACAGGCTGATTCAACCACTCTAAGCAAGTAAGTCTCAAACTGTATAAAAAGCGTTGAAAATGAATAAAAGTACAAAAAAAAATCCACTAAAATATGAAAAACATATAAAGAACTCTTAAAAATTAATGAAAAAAACACATTTTAACCCATTTTCTATTTATATTTTCCGAGAGCTATTTTTATTTTTTTTCTAAAAAAAATGGAAAAATATAAAAATGAGTATTAATGGCCCAAAACAATTTTTAATCTTTACCGTAATGTAAAGAATAATTAAAAATGCATTAAATATCAAATTTCTTATTTTTTAGAATTCATATACATTTTTTAGAAATTTTTTTTTAAACAACGGTTGTTAACCCTAACCGCCCAAAACCAGAATCGGCCACTAGCCGGTTCCAATCTAACTGGGCCATTAGCAGTTAGATCGGGTAATTTTACGAAGAATGGTAGGGACAACTTAAATCAGAAGGTAAAGTGCATTACGTAAGCAAATAAACCCAGAAAACGAACAACTATAAAGAATCCGCCTCTGATCCCGCCAATGGATACCAAAACCTTGAAGCAAAAATGGGTCATAATAAAAATAAACGAAACATACGTTTCAGGCATTCTCATCACACCATAGCATAATTGATGGTCTGTATGAGATAAGCTTAGCCACATTGGCATTTAAAAATATTCAAAAGAGATGGAAAAATCACGGCAAAAATTAAAACATTCAACATCCAGCTCATAAAAAAAGAAAGCATCCTCAGTAAAAGAACCGACATTAAGACCTCGGTAGCCTCCTAAACTAATTGAGGAGAAGAAGAAATTGTATTGAAGCATTACTAATTCATCCTCCTAATCAACTCGTTGATGTAATGCTCGCGGTTTCCAGCATCACCGCCTTCAACATAATGGTTTCTCTTCTTTTTCAGACCTCCCAGCGGAGCACTTAGCTGGAAAGGCCACAAGAAGTTGTTTGCCTCCTTGAAATGAGGCCCAACTGTCATTATCTCATGAATGAGATCTTCGATGCATATGATGCCAAATTTACCCAAGGCCTGCAATCAAGTTTTAATAAGGAGATCAAACAGATTAAAATCAAATACATGGTTTCTTCAAATAAAGTTTTGAAGAACGACTCAATGCACAAGATAGATACCTCTTCAATGATGGAATTTTCAGTTAATGCAGTTCTCTGATGTTTCAATTTCCCATAGCCTCTCTTGTAAATCAGTTCTCTAACACTCTTCAAATTAGGATACCTGCAGCATGCACAAGCCAATATATAATTAAGAATAAAAAAACACCAGGTCACTAGGATGATTTCAAGAGTGATGAGACATACCCATAAGTCACATAAGGCTCAACCCTATGCAGCATATTCACAGTTGCTTTGTTCACTTTGAGGAAGACACCATTAAATATCTGGCAGGATATACAGTAATAGAGCATCATGTCAAGCCTGACCATACAAAGTTATAACCCATCTCAAAGGTACAAGGCAAACCCCCTTACCTGCCTCAAACGCAAAAGCTGCAAAATCTTCCTAGTCTTTGGGTGCATGGCATTGATACTGAGAGGAGAAAACAATAAAACAAAGCGGAAAAATGAGATTACATATTACAAACAAAAGGCTTTCAATCAAAATTTGTGCATGGAATAAAACATAAGCAGAAGTTTGAAAGGACACATTAATGCAGTAAGGGAGTAAACCTCAAGCAGTAACTTGACTTCTAAGTTTAATCATAAACATTAACTAAATGATGAAATTTATATCCCAGAGGCCATTAACTAATGGGAGATATCAGCCCCGACAAACTCTTTCCTACTTCTGGAAAGCCAGAAGGAAGGCAAGATAGGGAGGAGTATTCCAAATTCTGACCCAACAGTAGAATGGGGTTGAAGTTTGCAAAGAAAGGACTGGCTCTAGAGAAAATAGAGACAAGTGCTACTAAAATATAAGTAACCAAAAAGCATATGGCAGGAAAAAAATTTTTTTGACCAAAACCCAGGAGATTAATAGAGATAACAAGCATGGAAACCAACCTCCAACTCAAAGGGTTATCCATACCTAAAAAGACAGACATAGAAGTATCAGCCTAATGGAGCATCAAATGCACCATATAGCCGAGGCTTTAGGTTCCAACATGAAATGCACCATATAGCAAAGGCTTTAGATTACTTGTTTTAGCCCAACTGGGAGAACCATTAAAGCTGTTTCTGGAGACAAGGGGTCCAGCATGCAAAACATAATTTTCGATAACCCATATGCCATAAACAACAAGCATAATAATGGCTACATGTAGAAGCCATTGTTTCTCCAATTGAGAGGACAGGAATGGCCCATCTCAACCAACAGTCATTGCGAACGAACACCAGAGACATACCCATAATAATCCCAAGTTACGAAAGCTCTAAGAAGTAGGAAAGAAAATAAGTAGTGAGAAAATGGAAGCAAGAAGAGAACCACATATAGTTATAGTTGGTAATTGAAAATAAAGGCAGATTGGGAATCTGCTGAATCGATCGGATTAAAACTTCAAAAAACTCCGAAAAAAATATTAAAATTCATTATAAATGTTGTTTTTTAAGAATCCAATAAAAAATGAGGGTACTACATTATTAACTTTCATCTTTTTTATCAATTTGTGAATATTGAGATGCTCTTTCCCTGTATAAACTTATTTTAACTATTAAATTTGCATCACATAAAAGAAAAATCATAGAATTATCATGGATAAACTATATACTTATATATGGACTATAATAAAGAGTAGACTAATCAATGAAAGAATAACCATTAAAATCTCGTTTTGACGAAAAACCCTAATCCGCTAAAAAAACCCAAACTATTACAGCCTAACTAACTATAATCCAAAATTATTACAACCTCACTAATTATAATATTATATACTGAAACTATAATTATTAGTTTACATTTTATAATTATTTTATTAGACAAATAATAACAAATTTAAAATATTTTATAATATTATTTAATTTAAAATGTATTATTGACAACTGTAAGAAAAATAATACATTACATGATTTATAATGTAAAAATTCATAAATAAAATAAAATATTTGGTTATCGATGTAAAAATTAATAAAATGCGTACAAATTTTGGAAATAACACTTCAATTTTTCAAAAATTATTTTTTTAGGTTTCTATAATAAATTTAGTAAAATAGATTGTTAGTAGAAAGATGGAGATTTCAAATAGACTAACTTTATTTTTATTTTTTTTATACCTTTCATATTATTTACAAAAATAATTCCACCACTAAATACAACAAAAATTAACTGTTTTATAAAAAATTATTTTTTTTATTTTTTATTTTTTTATGTCTTTTATATTATTTACAAAAATATTTATATTTATACCAACCACTATATACACAACAAAAATGCAACACATGCCCAAGGAGATTCGTATGCAACACATGCCCAAGGAGATTCGACCTTGGGACATCAAGTAAAAAAACCAAAGTCATAACCACCAAGCCATCTAACTACATGTGATTATAAATTGCTAATTAATAGACTATATTTACATTTCGTTTTCATTTATGATGTTTGGGAATTATCCCACATCGAAAGATGGGTATTCAACTTTGGTATATAAATACTTATGTAATATGACTTATAATATGTGTGCAAAAATATTAAGGCAACCTCACACGTGCGCTTGGATACACGTGTGCACGTGTGAGTGTGCGTGGGACACGCTTGCATGTGCGCAAATGTGAGTGAGCGAGGGGGCATGCTCCCACGTGCGCTTGGACACACGTGTGCACGTGTGAGTGTGCGTGGGGCACGCTCGCACGTGCACTTGGACACACGTGTGCACGTGTGAGTGGGGCACACTTGCACCTGCGCTCGGACACACGTGTGAGCTGTGAGTGTGCGTGGGCACACGTGTGAGTGTGTGTGGGGCACGCTCCTACTCTAGAACCGGGCGGTTCTCGATTTTGTGCTGGCTGTGCCGGTTCTCGAGTCGAACGGGGCGAGTCCGGTTCGACTTGACACCCAGAAAAATGAACTGGACTAGCTCCAATGGAATATTGGCACCACAGGATCACATGATTAATGGAAATTTGTACCAATATGCTAGCAGATACTTGATTTCTGAGATAAGTCTTATCAATATGCTAGCAGATACTTGATTTCTGAGATAAGTCTTATTGGAGGAAATTTTAGCTCGTAGATGATGTAGGAAAAAAGAATTAAAAAGCATAAAAGGAGAGAGAATATACCCTATCTCTAAGTATAATGGGGAGCTCACACCGAAGGTTGAGAGAGTTGGCCCCCTCCCCAAGCCTGCAACAGATTCCACCCCCAAAAAAGGATATTTTCACAACACCCAAATCATTTCTTCTTGTCTATCATTTCCTAGTGCAACACTTCCATAATTATAAGAGAAAAACTAAAAAACCCTGACTTTCCCTACATAAAAACTATAAAGGATCATTTCCTGATTCTTAAAACCTACCTAGGCGACTTACTATCTACCTTTTACCAACAAGAGGAGCAATATTTCATCAACAAATACACCTATCGTCATCTATAGATATGTCTCCAATGGAATTATCAAGAAACGGAGATATAGCCATCATTTATTAATCAAGGAAAGCATTCAATGCATACTCCCTACGGCATTCTATTCTAGATCCTTGGAAAGCCATCGCTATAGTCAGGTATTGGTGACGACAACATGCTTACATACCAAAGCACATCAGCTTTTTCTCTCTTTTTTGATAAATCAGAAGCATATCAGCATTAGCAATAAAAAAACTCTTCTTTTTTTGAGAAAAAAATTCACTTTCTTCCCCAAATAGCGACTTGCAACATAATATTACATTACACAAAGGCTAAGGAAGATTCACATCACAAATAAAAACAAAACAATATCCGTTCTTGGAAGTAAACAACAAGATTGTAGAAATATCAAAATAGGTACTTCAGATCTTATAATGACTCCATACTAGAATAGAGAACATACCCACGAATACGAATTATAAACAGCAATTTAGCCTCAGGGTTCACATAGAATCCACCCTTCAACTTGGCTTCTCGCTTTAATCTAACCAGTTCAAGCTCCTGGAAATCATGCAAGAAAATCGTAATTCCATAACAATCGAACAAATGCGCGGCAAACAATCATTTAGGTAGCAGAAGCCCCAAAAACATAAAAAACAAAAATCGTGGGCAAAGCACCGAATGCACTGAGTCACCTGCTCTTGGTACTCCTTTGCATATTCCTGTGCCCTCTTAAACATCAATTTCCTGTTATCAGCATTTTTCTTCTTCGTGGCTTGAAGGGCCTTCTTCTTTGCCAACGCCCATTCCTCACTCCTCTTCCTCTTCTTCAGCACTGATGCTGGAACAATGGCGCCAGTCTTGACCTCTTCTTCACCCATCCCTGTATCATAAACCACTTATCAACATGTTAAACCCGAGTTATAAGAACCCAATAACCAACTTCTGTGAGAATGAAATTCTTCATCAATAATCAAATCTAGTTTACCAAACGAGACCTCCGCAAAACACACATCCAGTTTGTCAATAAAAAGGGAAGATGCAAGTTGAAAAGTTCAAAATAGAAATACAAAAACCAAAATCAGAAACCAAGATATCAAACTACTCCCACATAGCAAGTTGAGCTCCAAAACCAGTATATTAAACCTGGGTCTCAATACCCAAATTTCCCGAGTCAAACATTTTAAACAAAATGATGGAATTCTTAATATATAACCAACAACTCATTTTAAAATCATTCTAAAAACAACCACTTAAACTCAATAAAATGGGTTCCAACAAAAAGGAAAAAACGATCAGTGGCAAATCAGACCATGAGGTCTGATAGAAAACACGGAAAAAAAACCAATCAATCACTTAATTTAACGTAGAAACCCACATTATCAAACTCAGTTCCGTTGCATTCACATGTCAGATAAAAAAAGCAAAAAGAAATGCATTATAGCAAAATATGAATAAAAAACAATACGGATCAGATTATAGTGATTCTCACATGATCAGATTAGAGTGTGATTCTCACATGAAAAGAGAGTAAAAACAAAAAATTAAAACGGGATCCTAAGTTAGCTCGAAACTAACCTAAGTACAAAAATGACAAACAATAAACTAAGATACAATATATATAATATGGTATGGATGATTAGAAACTCCAAAAAGATATTCAATTTTAGATATCCATCAATATACTCCAGCTTAAAATATCAGGCTAATCAGTGGAGGAAGCAACCACATAAAGAAGAATCACAAACACAAATAGTTGCACTGAGAAGATCTTCAGATTATTAGACAGTCAAAAACCCTAAAACAGAAGAAATAGATCGAAATGCCTCGAATTAGGGTTTTAGCATCAGGGTTTCAAAGAGAGAAACAAGAGCTTCGCATCAATGAATCTTACCTGGAGTTTGAGCTCGTGCCTCCGCTCTCGGCGCTCTCTCTCTAGGTCGGCGAAGCAAAAACGAAGGGTTTTGTAAGTAGCAGAGGGACGAGTTAAAGAGCGCTGAGATTAAACAGGGAGAACCTAAATCGGACGGTTCTGGAGTGGCTGGTTTATATTTCCATATTACCCTTTACAAATTTCTTTTGGGCGCCATAGGAAAGGGAAATGATATATCGCTAAAAGTTGTCTTACCGTATCGAACTTGACCTTTAGCGGGATATGCGTTAAATTTAATGGTAATCCTTCGAAGTCTTATACATAGGTGTGGGAATATCTCATAAGATCATTACTTCATAAAAAATATTAGTAAATGATAATTTAGATTAAAATAAAATTTTGAAATTTATCAAAGCGAAACTATTTAATATTTTACTCTTTTTTTTTATTTTATTTTCAAAAATAGCATCAAAATATTCATTTTATGGTAAATTATTGGAATAAAAATTATAAAAATATATATAAGAGATGGACATTTTTAATACGTTAAATGTCTCTTTTGTTTTAATTGCAAAATATTAATAAAACAATTGCATAACAACCTCTTATGGAAAAAGAGTAATTTTATATGAATAATGAACCTATGAGACCCCCCCACACTCATGTGTATAGAACCTAAAACGATCACCATTAAATTAGGCACAAGTCTCTAAAAAAGTTATCATATAGGTGTGGGATTTGATGTTTTTAGAGATATGTGCCACATTTAATGGTGATCCTTTGACATCCTACACACATGGGTAGGGGAAGGTTTTATAACATCATTACTCATTTCATATGTATATTTTTATCCAAAATTTTGGGTTCTATCTATATATCACCGTATGAATATTTTTAATAAAAAAATAGATTAGAGGTTCCTGAATACCTAGATCTTGCCCTTCAAAAATTGAACAATCATTGTTTAATTGTTGATTATTTTTAGGTACGTAGAAGATGGCAAACTTTCTATGTATCTCCTACAGCATAAAACTGACCATTATGAATCGAGGGCTAAGATTGCCTCAATCACATTATCACGTCTCTATACTATTTTATTTTTAATTTTTTTTTCTATAAACTATTTTGACACCAAATTTTGGACGTCTAATCCTCTATTAAACTCACACTAGCAAAAAATATAAAAAAATATTTCCAATAAAATAAACTGATCAAAATACCTTTTAAAGTTTTAAAGGGTATTTTGGTAATTATATTTTACCAAAATATTAATTTTAATATTTTTTTACAAGTGCACCCCAATGAGAAAATGATATGTACCCAATTTCATATTCATACAATTTATATAAATAAAATAAAATTAAAATACTTTTGAGACGTCGAATCTAAGATCAAATGGTAAGTGGCTCTCTTGATCAAAATTGGACGACTGGATGGTAAGAAAAACATAGATCTTTTATGCTGTAGTGGAAGTATAAAATCCTTTCCCCATAGAAGATCCTATTTAATTTGTTTTCTTTGACGTTGATTATGAGATTCAAGAGACTACATCCCTAAAGTTTGGCGTTCAACCAAAATTTATAGCATAAAGTTTCACCTGAAAGAGCAAATGCACAATATATGCTCCAGCGCGAGCGGAAAATATTTTCACAGAAAGCGTAGTCTTGAGTTCTAATAGTTAGAGACATGGAGATTGTTGAATTATTCATCTCTCATAGGTATTTTGGTACTTTGATAACCCGGTTTCTATCATACCAAGCCCACATATGTAGAAATTTGAGCTTCTTAATAAATCTATTTTTAAAATGGATTTTAAGACTTAATTTTTTAAGATATGTAATATCTAACTTAGAGATCATGAATATGAATAAATAAATAATTTTTAGAAGACTAAATATAATAATTCTAGTAAGAAAACATTTGGACTATTGGTTTCCCTTTTTAGATAGATGCTTTACACTTTCTAGACCGCACATGTAGAAAGGCGGTCCAACCCACATGAAACAATTTACCTTTTAATAAATTGCGCAATAATCTTTTCAGATTTGGGAAAAGGGACCATCAGTTAGGCCTTCTCTTGCTCTGTCTCTCTCTCTTACATACATATGTTTTCTGATTTGGAAAAAATGACCAGTTAGGTCTTCTATTTCTCTCTCTAACATGTGTTGCTAGGAAAAAATAGTACAACATTTATAAAGTAATAAGAAATATGGAAAATTATTGTGTGTTCTATGTAACCATAAAAAATTATTGTTATTTTAAGAATGAGCTCAAAGTTAGATTGTCAAACTGGGTAATGAAATATTGAGTTCCATTCCTACCAAAAAAAGAAAACACTCTCCACTTGACTACCCAACAAAGAAAATATGGATGCTAGCACTGCGCCGATTAAATAGATGCATTGTTATGCTGTGGGAGTTATACCTACAAGTTGGCTTATGAAATGTATGATATATGCAAGTCCACTCTCTCTATCACTATCCATCTTTTCATTGGATGGTGATAACACTTGCAAATGTAGATTCTCTATGGTCATATGGGTCATAGATAGTCCAACTTTTGACCTTTCACCTTTGCACTCGAAACCTAGTTTAGCAACGGTGTGATCACTACTCCCCCCGTATCACACTATACACTAACTCCTGGGAGCAAAAATACTAGTGAAAAAGATTAGCGGAATTGAATTTTTGGGATAATCACCTGATATATTTTTTTAAAAAACATAGATATTGAGTTTCTAAACACTTAGATCCCATATCCAAAATTTAGAACGTCTCCATTCAATTATAGGACATTATTTTGTCCTTGTAAATATAAAGTATAATAATAATAATTGTTGTTATTGTTGTTGAGGTTAGTGACTAGGTTCAAGAGATTACAAATTTGGGTCTAAGAAATACTCCTAAATGGGGTTTTATCAGAAGGAGTGAATGCATGGTATGCATTACAAGCATGTAACTTTTTGGTCATAGGCAGCATATGGACTCATTGCCTTCACATTGTAGGATGAAAGATTGGAAAAGATAATTATCTTTTAATGTTCGAATCATAGCTTACTAAAAAGATTAGCACATCATCATAACATTGATATAATCATCAATGCAAACAAATATCACTAAACTGAATGCACATGATCTTTATTCCTTCTGAACATGCACTGAGCATTTACTGAGATCCCCATTAACAAATCAGATTGGTGATATATTTATTCTCTTTCGAAGGCATAAATAAGCGCATAACCGATAAGCAATGGCCATACACAACAGGATCCAAACTTCTTGGACGCCTCCATCCAAATTCACAGTGTCGAATGTTGGTGAACTTTGTAGACTTTTACATCCGCCTACACTTCCACACTCATATAATTGGTCTCCAGAGTACTGCACTTTCAATAGGAGCCTAAACCCATAGTACATGAATGATACATACTTCATCCATTTCATGAATTGAGGTATATGCTGCAAAACCAATGTGCACAAATCAATAACATACTTATTTGCAAAGAGAGAGAGAAGTTCATAGAAGAAGCCCATTTCATTTTGGGCTGAGAAGATAACCTGAACATAGTATCCTCCAGTAAGAAGAAACAACATTAGCACCATAGAAGCTATCATCCCAGCTCTCTTTATGCTCAAAACTGCAGCTCCGAAAAGCTCCCCTGCCCCCTATAGTTTGCAATAGAATTAGAGACTTATGATATACGAAACAATTAAAACACGACAAAAAGAAGATATCGAATGTGCCAATTAACTAGAAATAAGCTGGTTTGGCTAAAAAAGAACTAGAAATTACCTGACTCGTGATGGCAACCAATAACACTGCAAGTAGTGTGAGAAAAAAACATGGCAACGTTCTTCTAAAACCAGCCATGAAGTATATTATGACCATGAAAATGATCGGGTAGAAGACATGAGCAACCATGTCGCACAGTGTGCTACTGACATAGTATGCACTTAATCTATACATATCTGCTTTCCGCTCCTTGACCAGGTACATTTTTTCAAATGGAAATACATAGACAGCTCCAAATAGTGATGAAGAAGTCCAAAATATACAAATGTAGAACATCAATCCAACCTATCAACAAAAAAGAGGACAATGCATTAAGATCATGCATATTGTAGTAGAGATGAAAATTAAGCGACATGTTTACAATTTCTACCTGGTCCCGAACTTGAGCCTCTGTTGTTGTCTTGGATTTCCACCACAATAGACCCAATAGAATTACAACTCCAAGACATTGGAGCAGTCTTAATTTGTCAAAATAATCGCGACGCCGTTCTCTGAATGTCCTGTTTGACAGAATCACAAATTGCTCTGCCCAAGACAATGTACAATCCCTTTTCACTTGAATAGCCATCTGGAGATGTTTATTTGTCCTTGAAGAATGATTGTTTTCTTCTTTTTCCTTAGGTTCCAACACAGTTTTGTATTTCCATTGTAAATGCTAAGATACCAAGAAAGAGACAAAAATAAAAAATGTATAAGCCAATGCAAGAAATTCAAGGTGCTTATATGATAGTTACAACTTGATTTAATTAATCACTAGCTGAAAGTAGCTCATTTACCTTGAGAACTGCCCTTTCTAATCCTTGGGTGGATTGTGAAACTTGTATTTCTTCAGGGAACCTTATGTTATTAACTCGTCCTGTGGCTAAATCCAATAAATATTCTGCAGGGTTCATAGCCAATTCAGGAACAAAACCCAATGAAGAAAAGTAATTCATGGAATCTTGAGCTTGCCCGTGATATATAGCACAGCCTTCTGATATAAGCAACAGCTTGTCAAACATGTGGAACATTCGACTCGAAGGTTGGTGAATCGTTGTAATGATTGTTCTACCAGCCTATTTGTCCATTTAATCAACATATTAAGATGTACAAGTTATTTCATCAAACCAGTACTTAACAAAATGCATTTTAGAATGCAGGGGAGAGAGCTTGTATTATCACCTTTGCAAGTCCTTGTAAAACTTGAAGGAGTTTGTTTGCAGTACTAGAGTCAAGACCAGAGGTAGGCTCGTCAAGTAACAGCAACGATGGATCCACAAGAATCTCATAACCTATACTTGTTCGTTTCCTTTCTCCTCCGGATATACCTTTTACAAATGCTCCTCCAATTTTTGTGTGTCGACATCTATAACCAAACATAATTTTCTATGACCATGATAGCCCTGTAATGGAAAATACTTGTAATTTGATCTTAGAGGAAAATCCAGCTTATTTCTTCCATAAACTGAAAGTGCGATATATTTTTAACTCCAAATGATTTTGAAGGTGTCATATATATTTGTTATGTAGCAAACCTCTCTAAACCTAGCTCCACAATTGTTCTTTCTGCTCTTAGAAACTTTTGTTGACGACTCATATCGCTTGGAAGCCTCAGAAATGCAGCAAAAACAAGGGTCTCTTCCACAGTTAATTGAGGAAAAAGCACGTCATCTTGTGTTACAAATCCTATCCTGTGAATCAACGAATTGATCCAACAAAAAATTAAAATAATACTACCAGATATCTTAAGCAACAAATACACTGATCATAAAACAAATTACCTTCTTTTCAGAGCTGAACTATAGGGAATATCATTGTAAGTGATGTTCCCCTTGATATTCCCATGTAGTCTACCTCCAATTATCTTCAGTAAGGTTGTCTTTCCACTACCAGAAGGCCCCATCAATGCAAGAATTTGACCAGGGCCTATGCTCCCAGTTATTCCATTCAGTATGTTTTTGTACTTGTGCTCTATATTCAAATGTGCAGCCACATTTGACATCACAACTTTCATGGGGTTCTCATATGAGGTGCAATTGCATTCCACCCTATATTCCACATCTTCAAACTACAAATTCAAAAAATTCAGATATTTTTATTAAGAACAAAGAAATGGACTCTCACTAAAGCATTGTTGGAGAACTCAGCAAGTTCAACTCAGACTCGCCCCAGTTATTCAGGCTCGATAGGCTGTTGAGTCCAAAGTTTCATTATTTTATTGTTTGGACTCGGCCTAATCTCTTTGACAGACATGGTCATCGGAGGTGAAATGGGCTCAGGACAGGACACCAGTGTGTCCTCCGAATCCTTGTTCTATAACACTTCAATAAAAAATAAAAAATAATGTATTTACCTTGATGAATATTGGAAGGGGAGAATCCTTGCATGGATAAGAACATGCATTTTCATTATCATTGTCTGGTCCTTCATCTAGCATGGCACATGATTGTGAGATGATTTCTATGCTATGCCCAAATCCACTGCCTCCTGCCATTTGCATTGTGCATCTTGGGAGAGGTGAGGACATAGCCTCTCTCTCCCCTTCATAAGTGATTTCCATGTTTCAAGAAACATTAGCTTTCTCTAGCTTTGTTTTACTTGATATAGTAAGGATCAACCAACTAAAACCAACCAAAACCTTGCCAGCTTATGTTATTGTGATTGCTTAGTTTTGTCATAAGCTTTATGTGAACTTTAATATATAATTGTAGGAGCAAAGCGTGACTCTTGGTGTTGGTATATAATTTATGGTCACATGGATTGAGATAATCAATATTTGATTCCATCACAAATATATGAACAGTTTTCTTCTTTATGAAATTCGGCCCACGAAGAAATTTATGCACATGCCCCCTTAGTTTTATGTTATTATAAAAAAGACGTTGTTTCTATGAGTCCGAGTCACCTCTTAAAAATCTATTTTTGAGATGGATTTTTGACCTAATTTATAAGGCCTTGTAATCTTTGACATGGAGATCATGAATATGAAAAATAAATAAATTTTAAAATATTAATTCTATTAAGAAAACATTTGGACTAATAGCTTCAATTATTTTTAGATGGACAACCTATTTGCATCCATCTTTAAGATGGATGCTTTATACCTCGGGGATCACAAATGTAGAAATGTAGTCCCGATCGAAACAAATTTTCTTATAAAAATCCCCATTCATATTATTTTTTTCATTTTTTTTTATCTTTATCCCAAAATGCCCTTGCTTCAAGATCCAAAGTCCTATGTAATAATATAAAATCTTGAACATTTGAAGATCCATAGTCATCTATTGGCTTTGGACTTTTCAATAACGTAAACTCAATAGTCATGAGCATAAATTTCCCTATATCATGCGATGCCCTAATAAGTTTTTTGACATTTCCCTCCATCGTGTGACGCCCATGAGGATTTTGACCGTTGTTAACGGCAAATAAAATGAACGGTGTAGATTACCACAATATTGTTTCTACAAGTAAGATTGCAAAATTCCATGAATATTTTTTCTTTTGATGTATCGGCAGTGATTTCATGTAACGATTGTATAGCAATATGATGCAATAACCTTTAAAAATTATGTTTTGGCCATTTGTTTGATCTAAATTTTAAAATATACGCTCTTTTTATTCTAATGAACAATCACCAAAAAAGAAAATTTTGAAAACGCAACATTGAAAGTATTTTTTTAGCCCAATTAAATGAGGTCATCCATTTTGATAAGATGTTTATATCTAGGCCTTACAAGGATTTTTTCCTTTTCCAATTTTTTTAAATAACTTTATTATAATTAGATGAACAATGTTAAAAAATAAAAAATGTTTTTGAGTTTATAAAGGCGAAGATCTTGAAATTCACCAAATAAATGGTCTAGATTTGTTGTCAGAGGGAACTCATTTTGAGCATGTCTAGGGTTCAAATTGTATTTTTTTTTTGGGGGGATTGATTATTGAGATGAAGATAGTGTGTGTGAAAATTTTGGGTCGTAAAAATGGGCAAGCTTTCTATGCTTCCCCTACAACATAAAACTTATATACTTCCCCTTATCCAACCGTCCATTCTGAATTGAGGGTTAAGATTGCCCCAATCACAATGTCATATCTCTAAACTTTTATTTTTAATTTTTTTTTGCAAACTATTTTGACACCAAATTTTGTACGTCCAATCCTCTATTAAAGTCGCACTAGTGGAAAAATATAAAAACAATATTTTCAATAAAATAATATCATTAAAATACTCATGAAAGTTTCAAGGGATATTTTGATCATTATATTTTATCAAAAAATTATTCTTAATATTTTTTATAGGTGCGTCCCAATGAGAAGATGGCATATACTAAATTTCATATTCATAAAATTTGTATAAAAAGAGGTAAAAATAAAATATTTTGAGATGTCGAATCTGAGATCAAACAGTGAGTGACTCTCTTGAGCAAAATTGGATGCTTGATGATAAAAAAAGCATAGATCTTCTATGGTACATAGGAAGTATATAAACTTTTTCTATACAAATAAAACGATGATTTTTTAGAAGTGTGGTTGCATTATATTATAATACAGCCGCTGCATACGGCGGTTGCATTATATCTTTGGCCTTGATGGAGGGCGTATTTCCGAAATTTGAATAGACCAGAGTGTACGGGCACATCTAACATAGTCTCACCAATCTATTGATCAAACGGTGATAACCTCATGAACTTGCTGTTTCCTGTGACACATGCATCATACCATACGTGCCCGTTACTACTGAGTTTCCCATTCGATTATAACAAAGAGTTACAAAGAAGATCAGAAACACACAGCGAGTGTTATCAGCCATGGAAGATTCTCATGAAATCCTTCTGAATGGCCTGGAGCAAGCAGGAATCAAGATCCCAATTGGCGTATCATCAATCCAGGATTTAACAACTGGTGCTCTGGTTTCAATTTGTTCTCAATCTCTTCGTCTCATCGATAATTCCTTTGTTTACCCAACTTCATTGCCAGTTTCAATGGCGGAGAGGTTCCGTCTCAGTACAACCCTCTCAGCCGCCATTAAAGGGCTAGGGTACAGAGGGGATCTGAGTTTCCATCAAGTAAGTAAAAGACCCATGTCTCAACTTTTCAATAAATTTCATGGTTCTCTGAAATTTAAGCCTTTGCTTTTGAAGAAACTCCAAGTGTTCTTTTGCATTCTTTGATCTCTAATTCCGGTGTTGTAGAGAAGCGACGGTTTATTTGGGTTCGTATAAATGTTGGGTTTTTTGCATTATAGCTATGTTAATACTTGTGCTTGCTTAATTTGAATGTTCATAACAATTAATGGAAAAAGATGGTCGTTTTGGCGCTTTAATGGTTTATAGAGCACATAATAGCTGACGTAGGAGTAGAAAAAATTACAAGTTTTTTGCTTCATATTGTTCTATTCATTAATATTTTTATTGCTGGTTCAGGGGCCATAATATCTTACTAATTGTCATATTCCTTGCTCATATTTAAGTAGCGACTGTATAGGAGAAAAAGGAAGATTATGGAAAGAGAAGTGCAGAGTTTACGATAATTGCAAATTGAAAGAAAAAACACTAGTGAATCTACGTCCTTATTGATGGCTTTGTAATGATTACTCTGGATTTGATGACGTTGGAAGTAATTGGGTCTAAATAATATTTGCATTTCATGGACATCTTGGGTGTAGAACTTTTTCTATATTAAACATATTTATCCATCAAAAGGATAACATAGATTCAAGAAAGTTTTGGCAAAGTTTTGTATGGGCTGCCTATCTAATAAAATTAAGGAAAGACTTAAGACGGGTTAAGGGAAAGTTTGGGTCCTTACTGTTACGAGATGAGGATGTTGAGATGGATGAGTGACAAGACAAGAAGGGATAGAATTCAAAATGAATACATTAAAGTTAACTTAGGTGTGGCTCCAATAGACGATAAGAAGAGGGAAAGTAGACTTAGTGGGCTGGCCATGTGCAGCGTAGATCTAGTGCATCACCTGTTATGAAGTGCAAGTTGGTTCAAGTGGAAGGCTAAAAAAGAACAAGGGGTAGGCCTAGAAAAATCTGGTTGGAAGTAGTGAGAAAATATAGGGGAACTTATGACCTCACAAAGGATATGACGCTTGATCGAGCAGAATGGCAGACCACGATTCATGTAGCCGACACCAAATAGTTGGAAAAAGGCTCTAACGATGGTGGTGATGATCCATTAAAAGGATAGGATACAATTCAGAAACAATGGGGGTCAACAAATGAGATCACACGAATTGCATAAGATATTCAAAGGAACTTAGTTATTAGGTGTTTAGGCAATTATTTGAATAGTAGTTACCCAAAAAAAAGAGAATACAAGAAAGAAAAAATTTCCAGATTGTTTGACTTCCAACTTGAGGAAGTTCTACTTTTATAGTTGTATTTTAGAACCATGCCGTCTCTTGTGGTTTTGTTGGTTTTGGCTTTTCTTTTTATGAGAACCTGCTTTGGCAGATTTCACCACATATCAAGTTAGATTCCTATTGAACTATTAAAAAATAAAAAATAAAAAGAAAAAATCTGGTTAAGGAGATTTCCCAAATATAAAATCTATTTGGTTAATGAGGTGTTATTGTTGATATTAATGGTAATAATTGTCTCTCTGGACCAGTTGTTTAGATATTCGTTTTTTTTATCTTTAAGTGTAATTAAAAAAGAACTGAATATTTTTGGTGGTATACTTAATTCGTGTAGAAAAAAGGAAAGGTGGTCCTTCCTCCTAATTGTTTGAAGTTTTTATTTGCTGTCCTTGGCCCTTGAATAAAAACTGAAATGATATCTGAATAACCCATGTTCATTAATCTGTGCAGTTTCTTTACCCCTCTGATGAAGACTCGTATAAATTGGTGAGGTTCTTGGTAGAGAAGTTGTCGAAATCTTCTTCAAATAAAGTTGGTGGTAGAAAGGGAGTTGGAACCAGGGTTAGGGTTGGAGGAAATGACCGGATTTCCACTGAATTTAGCAGCTGTTTAAAGAATTGGATTGAAAAGGAGGATACACTAAGTGAGGATCATGCAGTTCTAAGCCAGGTTAAAACCAAATCAAGAAATTGGTCCTCCGTACTGAAGAAAAATGAACTACTGGAATTGAAGGCTGGATCATCAGAGCCATCAAATACTGTTGTTGAGAAGGTTTTTGTTGGGGGTTCATTTGAAGACCATTTAATTAGTGTTTTAAGGGAAAGTGCGACATCCAATGAAGCATTGGAACCAGAGTCATCAGTTTCTGATGTGAAGCTGTCGGAGTCCTCCCAGAAGGAGACGAATGTTGAACATATCAAGAAACTTGAGCTGAAGTTGGCTTCTCTAGTGGAACAATCTTCACAAGTAAGGTCAATGAAAAAAGGGATGCCTTTTTTTGTTCGAAGTTTTACTGCAGCTTGAAGTTACATGATACCATATACTTTAATGCTGCACATTAAGTTTGAATTGTCATGATTTTTTGTTCATTTCTCTCTTACCTTCCTAGTTTTCTGGTAAGGGAAAGTATAATACTACCAGGGGGCTATGAAAGTCTATACGGTTTTGCACTATCCACGAAATGATGGATGATGATTGTAGAGAGGGGACCCACTATTTGGATCATGTCCTTTTCTCATGGATTCTACTCTCTCACCATCACAGTCTGTGATTTCATTGAACTGTGATGGCCCTATTGGACTATGTGTATCCACTGGATTATAGTGCATTTTCCCAAAAAAGTTACTTTATTAATTTCTCTTTCATAATACATTTGAACAAAGCTCACATCTCCATATCAGACAGAAGGAGAAAGGAGAGTATTAGGCAGACTGATTGAGTTGAAGTTGAGTATATAATCTTTTTCATGTCCGTAACTTACCATGATACGCATTCTTTTCAAGCTCTTGCATTAGGGTTGCCAATTATGGGTCCCATTCTACATACATACATCATAAGATTAAGTACACCATAGCCCATTGGACTATGGATTTATGGATGTTGACGGAGAGGAGGAAAGGGGAAGGGGGGGGCGTGGAGAACACATTTTGTAATAACCACTGGGGTCATCAGCATCTGATAAAATGGGCAACAATGAAGAGAGTTGGGAGACTCAACTGGAGCTTGCCCTATTTTCGTGGATCCCAATCTATCTCACATCACCATCCATCATTTCATTGGACAGGAGAGACCCAGGCACACTATTTATACTGTAATAACTTGGGTTAAAGTAAACCTTTTGTTGCAGAATATAGGGTTATACCATGTAATGTTAACTGTTTGCAGGTTTGAGTACCAATGATATATGGCCTATTTTATACCAGCATGGTACGTTAATTTATTCCTTTTTTTTTGGAAGTTTTAATGTATTCCTATATTCAAGCCGATTTGTTGACAAACTTGTATTTTCCTTTACAAATGATTTTTCTATTGTGATGATCTTTATACTGATTATTTTCCAAACTCATCTGTTTGGCAATAAACAACTAAATTTTATGGTTATAATGATTTAGTTGTTATCATTTAGTGATTATCCAAAAAAAAGAAAAGAAGGGTCGCATTCTTGACAAACTCTTCGTCTTGCAGTATTGGAAAACTGGATGATTCAAGAGTCTCTCTTTTTCGTCTTTGCCTTAGGTTTTTGTTCAACTACCATGAAACATTTGCACAGGTGACAACTAACAAACATCAATGTCAACAAAAATATTTATTTGAGTTTTATTTACAAAAATTAGAAACATTTCTTTGGTTGAAAAGTTAGAAATGCCGAACACTGACTCTTGCTTCTGAGAGATACATGCCTAATGACTGTACATCCTCATCCCTGAATAGAGAGCAAGAGAGACAGAGAGAAGACATGCATTTTCTTAGTACAATGAAATTCACAGGTGAAAATGTGTCCTGACATACAGATGAAGTTCACAGGTGGAGAGTTACAAAACCAAGTAGAGAAATTGAAGGCTCAGGAAAGCACAAATGTTCTAGAAATTCAGCAGCTACAAGAGAAACGTGGGCTTTTGAAAGCAGCAGCAGATATGGCACTAGATGACCAGCACCCTAATGAGTTCTATCTTGAAGAACTTAATAAGAGAGTAGAAGCAAGGAAGCAAAACCTTGAGGAACTTCAGCTGCAATGGTCCTCTCTCTCTCTCTCTCTCTCCTGTTTTCCATTGTTTGAATCCACCAAAACTAGGACAAAAATAAGCTACTTTTTGAAGTCTTATCTTAAAAATTTGTGGGGCTTTAATATATTTATCTATTTATTGTAGCAGCACTTTGACCTTTTCTTCGTAGTCCAGTTTTTTAGTCTGGGGTTATTGCAACATTCAGCACATCTTTTTAGAATTATTTCAGTTGCTCCAGGATTTAATTGGAAATTGTTGTGCCATGAATAACCCTACCCTCCTTTTTTTTGTTGGGTTTTGTTATCTCCTTTGTTTTTTTTATGAGTGTATTCTCAGCTGATCAGAAATCGAATCATGATTGGCAGGGACTCTTTCAAGCACCCTCTGGAGGAGAGAATAACGAGACTTAAGAACTCACTAAGTGCAAAAGAATCTAAAGCGATTGAAAAGCTTCAGTGCTTGAATAAAATTGAGCTGGAAACAGAGGCTGTGATATCTGAAACTATCAAGAGGTGGGTTGCCCTCTCTCTCATCACTCTCTTTGGGATTCAATTCTTCAATAAAATTTCAATCAATTTTCATATTGAATCTAAAAAAATAAATTGAAACGGTTTTGTAGCAGTTATTTTAGCTCTGAAATCTGAGTCTTTTATTTGTGATGTCATATTCTTTGCATTTCAGTTGTCTATAGAAAAGTAATATTTTATTGGATTGGGTTGAGTTCAGGTCTGAAAGTTGGTTCTTCTTTTTCATAAATTATTTTTGGCTGTTATGGTTCTTATGGCCAGTTTGATTACTTGTAGAGAGGCAGAGCGCTTGGCCCTTTCTGAAAAGCTTGAGAAGAGGCCCAAAACTGCATCGAGAGCTTCTTACATCCAGCGTATAACTGAGCTCACCAAGAACAGCAGGAAACAGGACATTGACATCGAGCGAATAGTCGAAGAAACTCGGCAGCTCCATATAGAGAACAACTCCATCCAAGACCGTCTCAATCGCACATACACTGTGGTTGATGAGACTGTTTTTAGGTACCTCTGTGTGTGTGTAAAGCAAGACATACTCAGTCTGACTTTATTGGAACACGTACATATATAGAAGGAAGATAAGAGATCGGTAGAAATGAGTGTAGTCTTCCATCAAAGGAATATAATACCTTTTCATTAATTTATTGTAGGGAAACTATCAGAAATATACCTTAATTTTCGCCTAATTGGAAAAAAAACCTTCAACTTTCATAAACTTCATCCGGACCCTTTTTCCTCAATTTTAGCATTTTTGTTTACCAAAATAGCTTTCACGATAGTCGTATTACCGTAATGACTATTGCATTACATTATTTAAAGTACCGTAATGATAGAACCTTCACGGTAATGCCACTACTGTGAAGGCTATTTTAATAAAAAAAATGTCAAAATTGAGAAAAAAGAGTGTGGACGAGGTTTATGAAAGTAGAGGGTTTTTTTCCAATTAGATAAAAATTAAAGTATATTTCTGATAATTTCTCCTTATTGTAAGAGAGAAGGCATGGATTGGGGAAAGAGAAAGAGAAGGAGGTGGGGGGCACTTCCCACTTTCTTATTCTTTCGTTATTTCAATTCAAGTGATAATTGTAGAGTATGTAATATATGTCTTCTCTCTCATGCAGGGATGCCATGAATGACCCTCTGAGGCAGCAAGCTTATCGCCTTCTAACTGGCATCCACGACAGCTTTGCTAAGATATCTGAAACCATCCTTGCAAATGACAAGGTTAAAAGAGAAACTACAGAGCTTGAGGCCAAGCTTGAATCACTCAAAGCCCGTAACTTTAACCTTGAGAAAATTCAAGCTGATATCAACTCTATTCGACAGGAAAATGAATACTTAGAACAACGGATCAGACACTAAGCATTTTTTGTAACATCTGTTCAATGTAGTTCCTATGTTTCATTCTTTTAACTTATTCTGGTTTTCCTATTGGTTTAATGATAGCAAAGTTCAAAAATGATATTTGGAAGCTGTTGAGGGTGCTGCAGCAATATTAAAAACGTATTAAAAAATGGACTCATTTTCAATGCACATGGTGAAGTCTGCTGCACCACAATAACACCACCCCAGCCATCAAATGTCAACAAGAGACATGTGCCGTGGCATTCTTAACCTCGGAAGGGATTTTTTTCGAGGTGGGGATGATGTTAAGTACTGTGGTAAACTTCTTTCCACTTTGCCATGCTAAAATGCATTTTATTTAGGAACTCTCAATCACATCGAGTAATTCTCTAATAGAAAATATGCAATAAAATTATTTATCTTTGATACAAGGAGGTCACAATTAATATTAATGATTGGATGTGAAATTGGGTAGTTGGGAGAGTCCTACTGACCAAGTTCAAATTCTAAAGAATTTAGTTGGGATTTTATGAAATATCCGAAGTTGTTAGGTTTTACATTTACATATGACGGTTCTGATTGATTGTAAACACTATGTACGAAGGGTAGATGATCAACAACATTTTTTAGGTCCATCTTAAAAAAGAAAACTAAAAAAATGTAGGGCAATGATTTCATGCAATGGTTGTATAGCAATATGATGCAACAATTTAAAAAAAAATACATTCTTTTCATTTTAATGAACAAATCACAAAAAAAGAAAAAATTGAACATACAATAACATAGGCCATTCATTTTGGTGAGATGTTTAGATTTACGTTTTAGAATGATTTTTTCATTTTTAATTTTTTTGGATGGTTTTATTTTCATTAGATGAACAATGTTAAAAATGAAAAAAATGATTTTGAGTTTATAAAGGTTAAGATCATGAAATTCACAAAATAAATGGTCGACATTCATTTTTGGAGGGGACGCATTTTGACCATATCTAGAGTTCAAATTGAACTTATTTTTTTGAGGGGTTGATTATTAAGATGAAGAGAGTGTGTGTGCAAAATTTGAGACCATACAAATGCCACAAACATGGTTTCTAGAAGTTCTTGCACTGTACTATGATGCAACCTGGATCATTGCTCAAAAAGTTATATGCTCCTGTGAGAACAAAATGTACATTTGCACCCTCACTCAAAGGGTAGAGGTGTCTTTGAGAGCCCAAGAGCTTGGGGATGTAACCAACCTACCAACCAGTCCTAAAAAAGGAAAAGTGAAAAAGAACAAAAAAGAATCAGTCATGAATCCTCTTGGGAAAAAAACAGAACGCTCCAAAATTGCACAAGAAACTTCACAATCTTTGAGCAATTTTAGTTACTCTATTCAATTTTCCGTTTTGAAAATGCACCTTGCGGATTCTAGAGTGGATCCCAACATCTCATATCATAAAAATCCTCTTCAATGGGATCATTTGCTCAAGGGACTAAGTTTTTTTTGGCCTTTAGATCGACAGCTCTACAAAGACTCTCCTTTTTTAGAATATTGCGGAGGCAAGATATACAGAATGATTATTTACTTCTAGTACAAGGAGGTTTCAAAAAAAAATTTCTTAAATTTTGTGACACCTCAAACAATCCAATTTGACATCTAGTGGTTAGGAACAAATGCGACTTTATAACAAAGATAAATGGTCCCACAGTATACAATTCTTATTCTAAAAAAAAAGTATACAAAGAGATTATTTACTTTTTATACAAAGATATCACAATTATTCTTGTCCCTTCAATTTAAAAAATGGATGGTTGTAAAAGTGTCATTAAAAAGACTCAAAAGTTAAAAAAAAAATAAAAAATTCTCTAACTCTGTGATTAACGCAAGCCATCCAATTTGATATCTAATGAGTAAAAGTGATTGTAACTTCCTTGTAATAAAGATAAATAGACTCATTGTATACAATCCCTTTCTAAAATTCACAAAAAATCCTGCATATGCTAAGACTTGTTTTGCTGGACCACTTGGCATAATTTCATTTTATGTGAAGACGATATCCTTGAACTGTTCCAAAACGTGTTTATATTTGTCCACTGTACCCCAAGAAAAAGCTGCAAAGAACTTCCAAGCATGTTTGACCTCACCATAACTCATTTTGCCTTGATTTGCATTTAATGCTGGTCAATAATACATCAACTCAGTGAACACAAACACTCTCTTACAGGTTCCACCTTCCAAACACCACCAAAACCCAAACACCAACCCTCCCTTTCTCTCTCTGTCTGTCTTTCTCTAACACACGAGCACAAACCGTTCAACCTTCTCTCTAACACGCGCAAGAACTGTTGAACCTTCTCTCTCTCACACACAAACCGTTCAACCTTCTCTCTCTACTCTCTCTCCACAAGGAGAGTTCAACCTTCTCTCTAAAACATACAAGAACCATTTAATCTCTCTCTAACACAAATCATTCAACCTTCTTTCTATCTCTCTCTAACACAACCATTCAACCTACTCTTTCTAATGCTCACACAAGAACCATTTAAACTTCTCTCTCTAATACACAAGAACCATTCAACCTCCCTCTCTCTCTCTCTCTATGAAAATTGATGTTTCTCTCTCGGGAAACATGAGAAATGCTTCAGAAGGACAGAGCTCTTGTAGACAAAACCGTCGAACAAAAGAAAGTGTCCATAATATCTTTTCAAAACGAACAGAAAAGAAAGTGTCCATAATACCACTGGTTAATTCTCGATCATGCATATAATTAACCCAATGGAAAACAAGGAAAAAAAACAATCTAAAAATCTCCAGCTCCAATTTCTTAAACCCAAACAAAGCTGAAACTCAGCAAAACCCAGTAAGCAATATGTACTTCTATGATGCAGACAAGGAACAAGGTATCACTGGCATGGACCCTGCGGTTGCCACAAGCCAATATGGAATAACACAAACTGTCCATTCATGTAAAAGAAAATCTCAATCATCATCCAAGGTAACATGAATTGCAGATCGGAGCCAAACTTTGCGGTTTCCTAGAAATGGAGGAACAAAAGGTTTACGATAAATCTGAACCAAAATGAATAGAGGCATCACCTATAATTTACTTTATACTCATCCATTTCATTCTGAGTAGCAGAGAGAGGGATTTCTAATTTCCATATAACAATTACAAGTTAATACATCTCACACTGTCAAAATTCAATCTACAAAGGTAAGAGAGTGGAAAATAATGAAAACCCACCAACTCAACTCTCACCTTCCACATCCTAAACCTTAAGATGAGAAAAAAACCCAAAAGCCTAAGTTTTCAGCAACAAACAGTACCTTACATAAGAAAAATTTAAAATCACAGAAATAACAAAAGGTGAATGAGAACGAAAGAGAGACCTTTCAACATACCTCTCTCAACTAACTTAAAAATGGTTAACACTGAGTCATAGTGGGGGCAGTTCCTCTTTTGCCCCAAAAGGGTAAACCTGAATCACCCTCAAAAGAAGGGAAAAAAACACTAAAACCGCTTACTTTCACATCCTTTGTGCAATATCCCCACCACCATCATCAACCTTTCCTCCATATATTTACACTCAAAAGGCCAAAGGCTCTTGAAAGAACCCAATATTTCCCATCCATTTTTCCGCGATATTTCCAACCAAACTATCCAAAACTCTTTGTTGGGTTCGTCAATAATTGTTGGCCCAATTGACCTGCGGACGTTGGGCATTTTGGTAAACTCCAGCTTGTGGGCCCACAGGACCAACTGGGCCAGCCATGGTTTGGGCTTGTTGCATGAGAGGGTGGGCAGTGGGTGCTGCCATGGCTGGTGGGCCTGGATGGTAGAGGCCTGCAAGGCCCGCCTGAGTGGGCCCAAAGGTAACGTGCTGACCAGCTTGAGGAAGGCTGTAGAAGGAACTTGCCTGAAGGGTCGAGATGTCTCGGCCCGGAGCTGGAAACCACATTGCAGAGCCTTCGCCCTGCAAGAGTAGAAAAGAAATATATAAGCCATTTCTTCTTTGATAATTAAGAAACATGTACGGCAATTACAATGCTTAAGATAAGTTGAAAGAGAAACATAGACAAGCTCTCTCTCTCTCTAAAAGAAAGAGGATGTCCTTATTTGGCATATCTTAAATTGTTAATGGTAATTTTAAGTTAATAAAATGAGGAGAGAGGATTGAGAGGGGATAAGGGGGTAAAGTGAAATATCTAGGAAATTTTAATGCCACCTGAAAGAAAAACATAGGGAGGGAGGGGATATCGTGAAATTTTCCCTTCTACTAACTCCATAACTATTCTGTACTTTTTGAAGAAAAAAAAGAAAGAACATGAAAAAAAAAAAGATAAAACAAAGCATACCTGCTGCCCAGTAATATACACATTATTCTCCTTATACTGTGACCCCCCAAGCTCCTCATTTGAGGCTGAATTCCCACTCGTTGCAGCTGCACTGGCACTATATCCCGAAGGGACACCTCCAAAATTTCCATAACCAGCAGGCATCCCTATATGAGTTGAGTTACCCGAATTTGAACCAGGCTTGTACTGAGAAAGGGAGTACTTAACTGTTGCACCAGCTTGTGGAGGAGGGTAAGAGCTACCACTTGGGGGTTGCTGCGGGAAAGGAGTATTGCTCAAAAAATGGTGAATAGTTGGGGGGGGTACATAGACAGGAGAGAAATATTGGTTATAAGGGAGATAGTTGGATGGATAATGGGATATGTGTACACCAGCTGGTTGCCTGAAAACAGGAACTGGTTGTTGGGTTACAGCTATGGAGCTTTGCATTACTCCAGCAGCTTGGGTGGCCAGGGGAGTGGGACCTGCTGAAGAGACAACCATGGAGTTTGCGCTCTGCAAAAGCAAGTCATAAATCACAATACAAGAATCAGCACATTTCATTCTCTTCTCCTTTTCTTTATGCTTAATCTTTCAATGAATGAAAGAAAGTGCATATCAAGTTGCATTTACTTCATATTTTCATTTAATTCGGAATGTTAAAGAGTCCACATGAGATTGTGCAGTGCTGGTATATACCATTTAGTTATTAACTTATGCAAGTTGGTGTTTAGTATTTATTAAAATCATAGCTCACTAATACAGCGACAATGATGCATTTGAAGAGCCTATCCAGGAGATGGCTGCCCATAAGGACCACCATCAAAATACGAGCTATCTGCCTATCTCCAAAGGACAAAAAACTTGGATTGAGTGAGCATGTCACAGCAATCTCTCTAAAATATGGCCATTTCCTCACCGCCACACAAGCAAAAAAAGATGTGGGGAGAAGCACATAAAATAACCAGATACTAGCTCAAAGATCTTGATCCTGAATCGCAGTTGAACTTCGGACATCAAAAACTAGAGCCACAATTTCTCGCAAAGCAATCTGCAGCTAATACCTCCTATTTCTTTAGGTGGTTCAGAGGGAGGTAAGGCAGTCTAAAACCTCCCATCCATTGCTATCATATACAACAACCCAAAACTTATTGTTGCAGCAAAGTGATGACTTATGACCTCGACTATTAACTATAAAGGCATTCGACTACGCTGATCAACCAAAAAAACGTCAATTTGTCCTCCCCACCTTATTTTAGGATAAGATTAATATGAGCAACATTTAGGAGCAATATGGGAGAAACAATTGGTGAAAAAGGTTTGAGAGTATGAAAATATCAAGGTTCCAAAGTAGGCACCAACCTTGGTACAAGGTACCTCCAACTTAGTGTCAAACTCCAAAAGCCCAAAATTTAAACCCCGCTGCCACAGGAATGCAACATGTCTCCAAATCCCTTAGCCTATTCTCCAAATGGAAGGACTGCATCCACACCCCTAAGCTAACAAGTACTTTTTAAGAACCTTCACTACACATCAACCCCCATATTTGGACTTTTATGCCCACATGGCACCTTTGATTCATATTCCCTATTCAAGCCCCATCGCTTAAAAATTCCAACATTGTCACCGCCACACTTTTACTGGTATAATTTTCATAATCGTTGTAATATCTCATAACTATATCACAAAATAAATAAATAAAAAAACAAAGCCAAAGCTAGTCACCTCCTGTGAAGATGGACCACTCTGGGTAGAGAGCACCGCAATGTTCCCATTGAACTTGGTAGCTGTGCCTGGTGCAAGGAATGGAGCGAAGCGAGCATCGCCATCTGCACCAGGACGATAAAATGGGGTGTAATAGCTAGTCGCTGGATCAAATGGCTGCTGGACCTACACAAAAAACCACAATGAGCTATGAGCATGAAGAAGAACGCATTATTATGGGAAGAAACAATTGGAGAAAAAAAAAATAGCACCACTCTTCAAATTTTACTATAACCAACAATCAATCTAACGATGTGAAAATGAAGTATTATTATTCTACAGAAATGATGATTCTGAATTTATCTTTTCCTAAAACTGATTACTAGCTTTTCCTACAGAAATGAGAAAACTGAATTTATCTTTTCCTACAGAAATGAGAATTACTTTATCTAGAAGAGAGAATCTTATCTGAAATCAAATACACTCAGGATAACATTATTTCGTAAGTTGTTTGATATGTACCTTGTATTATAAATAATATTATGTAACTTTCTTTATGATTTTCAGCTATTTTTAGCTATTTCGGGATAAGAACTTGTGATTTTCAGCAAATTACTTTAATAAAGTAAAAACAGATTTTCAAAAAGATAAACTTATATGTAAAACTGCCTATAAGCTTATCTCATTTAACTTTATAATGGACAATGCCAAACAACAGATAATTCATTATCAGAAATAATTTTATTGAAACAGTGAATTATAGTGGCATTAAGTACATCCAAACATACCCTAAGACTAACAGTTAATCATTAAAGGTCATGAGACCATGAAGCTTACAATAAAGCCCGGAAGACGAGAGACATCCCGTGCCTGAGGTTCCCCACTTTCAAAGGATGCAAATTGACTCCCCAACATGGGAGGCATCAGCCCAAAACTTGAAAAATTTGGCCCATTTTGCACCACAGAATACTGAGGCCCTCCTGGTGCCAAAACCACATCTGGTTTTGAAGCATCAGATTGTTGAACAGCACCCACGTTTTGTGAAACATCTGTTTCACCAGAAGACAACATCTCTGGTGCACGACCTGGTGATTGTGAGTGCTCCATATAGTTCCCTTCTGTACCAGTTGGAGCTGCATTTGAAATGCTGCACCAATTTCATTTAGCCCAAGTGTTAACAAGATGCAAAGAGAAACAGCCATGTAAGGATTTTGAAATGAGACTAGCTCAATGTTATAAGGGACAGTAACCATAATAAGGTGGACAATGGAAATCACAGAGCAATAGGTCATCAAGGTTCAATAAGATCGTGGACCCAACAGAACAGGATGACTCCAATGGTGGATATCCCACTGATAATAAGCATCATTAGACTATGCAAAACCAAAGTCCATTGGATCACCATGGTTCAATGAATAATTCACGGTAATGGAGAGAGTTGGAACCCACTGGGACAAAACCTGATCCAGATGATGGTTCCCACTCCGCCAACTTAGTTTCATTGGACAGTGAGAATCCCAATGGACCATAGTTTTCCATAGTCCATTGTATTATATAGTACACTTTCCCCTGTCAGAAATTTGCAAAATCAACAATATAAATTTGTATGATACTTGGAATATAATCTACTTATGGTACACAAGGTTTCATTAAGAATGCAACAAACAACAAGGAAAAATGAAAGCTAAGAAAATAAATTTTTGAAAAAATAGAGAAAACCAAATATATATAAAACATATGATACATCCCATGACCACACTTTCTTTTCTAGACATGCCACCACCCAATACTTTTGATACCACACCACTAACCCCAACAGTATTAATATTTGCAGCTACTACCCCCAATGCATAAACCCACATTCATTCCCATCCTTCACATTCATTCCCATTCTTCACTCTCTCTTAAGGCCTTCAAATTTTTAGAGAGTTTCTCTTTCTAGAAATATGAAATTTGCGATAACTTAAAATTTGAGATAGTTTCTCTCTAAAACTTTTGAGACAGTTTATCTCTCTAAAATTTAAACTTTGAGATGGTTTCTCTTTAAAAACTTGATATAGTTTCTCTCTCTAAATTTTGGATTTCATGTTTTTCAGAGCAAGAAACTATCTTAAATGCATTGGAGGTATTTTTGTCCTGAAAAAATAATTTTTTTACTTTGAGGGGTGGATTGTGGGCTACGAAAGGTGAGGACCTTAAGCTTTCCCTTATCATGTCCCAAGCCCGGGTAAAGACGATGGGTTGCGTTAGATTGGCATCCAACATAAAACTTCGTCAAAACTTTCTACAAATTCGGAGTATCTGCTTATGCTAGAACATTGCCCATAAGCGACACGTAGCAAGGGGTAGGCCCAAAAAGACATGGTTGGACATAGTGGAAAAAGATGTGGACTTATGGCCTCAACAAGGGTATGGCCCTTAATAGAGCAAATGGCAGACCACGATTCGTGTAGTCAACCCTAATTAGTTGAGAACACGCTCTGATGATGACTTCGGGGGGTAGATGCAAATATAAATACTATTGGTATTAGTGGTGTAATATCAAAAGTATTAGGGGGTGGCATGTCTAGAATATGTGGTCATAGAGGGTATGTATAATATTTCTCATATATATATATATATATGAGAAATGATCCTATAGGACCCTCCTCCACCCATGTGTGTAGGACCCCAAATGATCACCATTAAATTTGGCACGAATCTATAGAAAAGTGAAGTCATACACCCATGTGATAACTTTTCTAGAGATCCGTGCCAACTTTAATGGCGATCTTTTGGGGTCCTACACACATAGGTGGGGGAGGGGTCCTATAGGATCATTACTCTCTCTATTTATATATATATATATAGAAGATAGCTAGTAGTACGAACC